ATGTCTTGAGCAAAAGTTAACTGGCAGCCAAAGAAGAAAAGCAAAAGAGGTATGAGCCCTAAACTGCACTGGGTGAAACCAAGACAAATTGTAATTTGTGAATATTGGCTATACAAATAAAATGTAATTCACTGATTGATATCATCTGCCAAGCAGTGATATCAGACACCATAAAAATGACTGATGTTTCCTGCTGGAAGCTTAAAATAATTAAACAAAATTAGGCCAAGAATAGAACCCTGTGGTGCCCCACACATCAGTAGAGCTGACAATGAAATATGTGAAAATAGAATAGAAGCAGAAAGTTCTTTATCAGTGAGATATGATTGATTGATAAACCATAAACCAAAGGCAGGTTTGTATATATTAACATGGTGATTTAATCTGCTGAGAGGGTTGTTATGATTGAAAATGTCAAAAGCTAAACTGAAGATGAGTAGCAGTAAAATAGAGATATCGCCAGTGTCAGACTCATCAGTAAATTATTCGTAATCATAATGAGAGTGGCGTCAGTACTGTTGCTTGCAGAACCCGGACTGGAACTTGTCAAAAATATTATTATTATCTAATACAGAGAGGAGTTGATTTAGTCCCACTTTGGAAATGTATTGGAGCTTAGAAATAGCCAGATGATTATGTGAAAGGGATTGATCAAGGTAAGACGTTTTCAATAAAGGCTCAATGCTGGCTTGCTTAAAATAATTCAGAACAGAGGAAGAAGTAATGGTTTAAACTGGTTTTTTTTTATGACAAGCAAGCTTAGGCCAATGGCATCTATAACCTATTTTAGGAGTGAAGTGGGTACAATAGTTTAGTTTAGTTTAGAGTGCATGTGAGTCATTTGTAGTGATGAGTTCAGGAAGAGAAATTTGCTGAAAAGTAAAGGTAGGGTTGGAAAGTTGGTGAAACATTTTTTGATCTTATTTTTTGAAATCCTATTTCACAACCAACTATTTTCATTGATTTGGATCATAAGAAATTATTCGCTGGTGTAACTGTTTGGCAAGACCTTCTTTCTGCTTTTTTAAGACTCCTTAAGCTGTTGTCTATCCAATATAACATAGATCAAATGGAGTATAATGTATAAAGCTTTGGGCAAAACTTGCAGAACATTTTTAAGTGCTATCTTAATTTAAGGAGATCATACATTGCTGATACGCTGTTTTGGTGGAGCATGGAACACATTGTCAACCATGATACAGAGGTGAATAGAGACAAAGATATTTTACACAGCTGTGGAATTGATGCTCAGACCAAGGGTGAAAAATAAATATAGTGTGCGACTGTAGTTATGAGTTGGACCGGACTTAAAAAATCGTCAATGTGGATATCAAGATCATCAAAAATAATTACTTTAAGTAAAGTAAAGGCAAGCAAACCTGCTGGTTCTATCTCACTCCATGTCTTACCAGAAATATCTTTGGCTGAGGGTCTGTGGTGACAGCAGTAGAGGTTTGCAGGAATGTGGTTCCATGTACATGAGATCCTGTTGTCAGAGTTGGGCTGGTACTGGTGGTCTCTGGCTTCCCAGTCTCTGTGGTCCTTGATTTTATCTGCCCATTACTTGAAACTGGCAAAGTTGTTTTCTCTGTGTCTTAGAGAAGACATAACACAGTAACAATAAACAATTTACACAGTTAATGATGCAGCCACTTCTGTGCCTAACACTATATGGAATTTACCATTGTGTTTGTGGTTTGTATAAAATCAACCTTTATCAAAACGATGAAAAGAGGAAAGTGTGGAGATAACAGGAAGGAGTCCATAAGCCAAAGCCAAACACTTCATCCATCAAACCTGGTGGTTCTGTTAAGGGTCCAATAAAACTGACACACTGGCTTTCATTGGTGATTTCATTGCTTAATTAGCAAGCAGTTGTTAAATGTTAAACATAATTATATTAGATAACAATACTTGACTCGTACAATGCACCTGGTAGACCATAAGTAACTGTGTGCATTCAATAAAAATTGTTTTAGAATTGTATTTGGTTAATTTCTGACTACTACATTTATTTCCTTTTGTGGGGCACCAGCCAAATAGGAGTGAATGTGGGTCCTTAAACCTTTGGCAACCACAGAACCTGAGGCTGTTCTTTAATTGGTTGTTTTTCCAGGTCTCTATGCCCCAGACACTCACACTTTTATTTACAGTGAATAGGCATTGCTTTATATTTCTTTTAATCTAATTGGTTGATGCTCCACCGTCACTGAGTTTCTTCTGGTGCGGGCTGACCTGCAAAGATATGGCCACTTTAGGTGCAACTGCGGCAAATCCAGTTATCCAATAATAACAAAAAAAAACGTTCACAAGGTGTTCACTTAAAGAAAAAAAGGGAGCATGGTTCAGATGGACCCGATTTACAGATTCTTCAGCTGGCAAGTGATGAGGATGACCTTACATCCAGGGCTTCTCCTGCTCTTGTTACAAGAAACAGAATTGACTTACTGAATGTGGTGTAAGTCATTTCTATTATTGCTTCCCGTTTACTGTTTCAAATTGTCGAGGTAAGCACCTAAAAGAATAACAAAGGATGAGGGATTGAGGGAAGAGATGGGGTGGTTGGGATGAAGGATGAGGATAAAAGCATGCCTTTGGCCTTAATGCATGTAGGGGTGAGGGAAAGGACAGTGGAGGGGTGAGGGTAGGGATGAAGGATAAAGGGATGTGTGTAGGGGAATGAGGGAAAGAGGATGAATGGATGACAGAAGGAGGATGAATTGATGTGGGTAGAGAAAAGAGATGGAGGATGAACGGATGTGGGTTTCTTTTCTCTTTTTCCACAGTAGGGAAAAGAAAACTGTGGGCTGTAGAATCATGAAGAAAACTAACAGATTGGTTGAGTGGGTATATGTCGGCTTAACAAGTGTGGTTGAGGTATGGCCTTGCTCCCGAACTAAACTACTCAACTTAATTATACTAGCAAGGGCCATGCCACAACTAGGTGTAATTTAAAAGTTTAAATGGAAATTGATATATTGTATTTTGAGGAGAAATTAATGGACATTGATTGAAGGGGTTGAGGTGAAGATGCATCTTGAAGGCTCCATACTGCTCGTGTGGTAACATCCAAGTGTCCGCAAGCCCCGACATTCATATTCGACTTGAAACGGCATCATTTACACCGTGTTTTAATCCTAAAGATCCTCTAATATCCTCCTCTGAGCCGCGTTCACGTGCGCACGCACACACTGGAAAACCGCACACAAGCATCACTACATCTGCTAGCATTGCTACCTCCTGTAGTGGACTTTTACACACTGAACATTTAAGTGGAGTCTAGTCAAGTGCGAGCTTGATAGATGTCACTAAGACAGTCAAAGTATGGCAATCACTTGCTGGGTGGCCCGGACGAGGAAGCCTGAAGCACTGGATGAATGATGTATGTTGTTGCTGAATTGTTAAAGGAGGCCGAGTAGAGATGGAATAATTGGGCTTTATTGTCACTGTGGTGCAAGGGCATGTCTTTCCCTTTCAGGAGTCCGTGGAGATGGGGAAAGATCTAGTCTCTGATGTCCAGCTTTGTTTTGTGAACGTGGAGATGGCCAGATTAAAGAGAATGAGCTGTGCCATTGCAAATTAGCTGGTAACTGCACTAGGAAATAGCCCAATCAGGAGGAAGAGGGTTGGTCAACGGTCCTGCAGCCACGCCTCTGGCGGTTGAGGTTATAGCCCCTTGTTAATGAAAGAGACAAGCCCTGGAGCCCTCTTGAAGTAGGAGAGATCTCGTTGGAAGAGCAGGAGTGGAGATGCTGGCAGGATCGAAGTATGTTAACAGCATTGGGCAGGCTAAGGTGACAGTTGGTGATATGAAACAAGTCTAGCATGTGGGAATAACAGCAGAGTCAGCATGGTCTCAATCACACCTTTATAGAATATTTTTTGGATGCTCTTGGGGAGTGTTGCCTGCTTAAGTTTCCTCAGAAAGTACAGTCTCTGCTGGGCCAGTTTCACCATCCTGGTGGTGTTCCCGGATCAGGTGAGATTTGTCGAGATCTGCATTACCAGAAACTTAATGCCCTCCAATCTCCACTGTGGAGCCACTGATGCTGTGGGGTGTATGATCAGACTGAGACCGTCTGAAGTCAACGATCATCTCATTGGTTTTAGTGGTATTCAGCATTAGGTTGTTGGCACTGCACCGGTCCCCAGGTCTTTGATCTCCTCCCTGTACCTTGATTCATCATTTTTGCTGATGAGCCCCACCACTGTGGTGTCGTCAGCAAATTTGATGCGGGCTGAGCACACAGCCCTGTGGGGAACCTGTGCTCAGTGTGATGAAGTCAGAGCTTTTCCTGCCAACCAGGACTGACTGTGGTCTCTCCATCAGGAAGTCCAGAAACCAATGACACATAAATGGTAAATGGTTGTATTTATATAGCGCTTTTCTAGTCTTGAAGACCACTCAAAGCRCTTTACACTACAGTTTTCCATTCACCCATTCACACACACATTCATACATAGAGTGCTTCTATAGCTRGCACTTTTTGTTGTTCTATTGGGCAGTTTGGGGTTCAGTATCTTGCCCAAGGACACTTTGGCATGCAGATGGGAAGACTGGGGATTGAACTTCCGACCTTCTGGTTGGAGGACAACCGCTCTACCCCCTCAGCCACAGCCACCCACATGACAGCATTGAGGCCAAGCAGCGAACAGTTTCTCCACTAGTCTCTGTGGCATGATCGTATTGAACGCTGAACTGAAGTCAACATACAGAATTCTGCAGGAGATCCAGTGATGAAGGGAGGCTGGCAGTGATGAGAGGTCTAACCAGTCATTTGAAAAATGTCATTACTCCGGGGGTCAGGGCAATGGGGTGGTAATTATTCAGACAGGCTACAACAGATTTCTTAGGTACAGGGATGATCGTGAGGGTTTTGAAGCATCTGGGTACAACAAACTGGCCAAGGGAGATGTTAAAAATGTCCGTCAGAACACCTCAGCATATTCCTTGAGTACTGACCAGGTATGTCGTCAGGACCTGCCGCTTTCCGTGGGTTGACTGGTAAGGGTCCTCCGTGTCCAACTCGATGGTCGGAGCAGGGCTGGTCACTTGCTACGAGAGGGCAAGGCTTCCCCCTTGTTGTAGTGTTGGATGCTTCAAAACGGGCAAAGAAGTTGTTGAGCCTGTCAGGAAGTGAGTCATCAGTTATCCGCTTGGTCCTGTAGTCTGTCAGTGCTTGAACACCCTGCCACATCCGTTTGGTGTCTCCTATGTCGCAGAAGTGGCTTTGTATTCTGCACGTGTAGGCTCTTTTCGTTTCCTTGATCCCCTTTTTCCTGCTCTCAAACATTTGAGCACTGGTCTATATGCAGGTGTTAGCGTGATAGAGATGTGGTCAGAGTAGCCAAGATGGGAGTGGGGGGCTGCCTTGTAGGCCTGTGGGGTGTGGGTGAAAACCACGTCCAGCACGTTATCTCCCCTGGTTTTAAAATCCATGTATTGTGTGAATTTGGGGTATACAGACCTTAAGCTGGAATGGTTAAAGTCCCCTGCAATTAACACAAAACTGTCCGGCTGTGTGGTCAGTAGCTCACTAATGGCATCGTGGAGGCCTTCCAGTGCTTCATTAGCATTTGCTTTGGTAGAAGTACTGGGGGCTATGTAATCAGCTACAACAAACACAATGGAAAATTCCCTCGGCAGGTAGAATGGCCGGTGTTTCACAATGAGGAATTCAACTAATGGCGAATAGTGTTTAGCAGCTACTGTAGCGTTTTGGCACTAGACCTTGTTTAAATAGAAAAACAGTCCATCGGCACATGCCTTTCCATGCTTTCCAGCCCATGCAGAACACATGTCATTCCCTCCATCTGTATCGCCACCGCCAGAATGTTATCATGTGGCCATGATTCAGTAAAGACATAAACACATCAGTCTTCAATCCAGCAGAAGGGATGGTACAACTGGCCTGGCCGGGTTGGCTTTCAGCCTAGTGTGGATGCCAGACATCTTTCCTGTTTTCAGCCTTCTCTCACAGCGCTTTCGTTTCCTCCTCTCCCATGAGGCAGCCGGTCAGACAGTTGTTAGCATTCTACAGTGGAGTAGCCTGTCCAAATCGCACCAGAACTCGTTTAATGTTCCAACATTATGTGCTCAGATTCAGTCATATGAATGCAACTCATTGGATGATATTTCACCATTCAGCAGGGCAGGTATCCTAAACAGACCAAATACCCTTTCAGGGTGAAGAGATGGAATATTCTGTACTAAGAAACAAATGAAACATATCCAGGATATCTTTTCATTATCTGGCTTAAAGGTCCAGTGTGTAAGATTTAGGTGAAAGGGAACTATTGGCAGAAATGTAATGTAGAATAATCCTCATGATGTTTTCATTGGTTCGTTTCATCTAAAATGTACCTCAGAAAAGGCCCTTTATATTTAAATACTTTATATTTACATCGAGGGGACCCTCTCTACGCAGGCCACCATGTTTTTTCAACACTAGATATCACAACATTCTACACACTTTACTTTTAACTGAACATCTGCCATCCTAGATAGCCTGTTCTACAAAGCTTATCATTGATTTGCTATGTTAACTCTTGCATTCATGTAGAGGCAAATAGTTATTAATTATAGGCTAGATTGTCAGAACCATTGATAAAGTATGATGTGAAAATAAAGGCTGATACCTGCAGGATGTGTCTGTTTATGCAACATTCAAAAGTGATGAAATATTGTCACTATTGTCAGCACAGTTTAACAGGGACCTCAAACAAGTGTAGTTTAAAATAACAAGAGAATTCTCACTTCCTTACATCTTCAGAAACAAACCTGACAAGTTGGAAGTTTATCAGATAAATGATTGAGAAAGTTCAAGGACAGTCAGATGGATTTTCAGCCTCTCAAAGTTTGACATTGACCCTCAAGAAGTCTCATCAAGTCAGTCAGTATGTTATTATCTGGAATATCTATATAATTCACAGGAAAACTTACCTTCTTCACTTGTCTTGGCTGGATAAGTTTGTCCCGTTGTAGAATATAAGACCTTTGTGATATTTGATGTTTCCACATGGTAAGAATTTGCTGTCAGGGTGACTGACGGTTCAGTCCTGGAGTTTGTACTGTGTACAGAGGCTTCAGGTGTCTGTACTTTGACAATACTGGGGAATCCGCCTGGGATGCTGCCATTGTCAGCTGTTGCAACTGTTGATGTTGCGACTGTTGCGACTGTTGTAACATTTGCAGATGCAACTGTTGTAACATTTGCAGATGATGCAACTGTTGTAACATTTGCAGATGATGCAACTGTTGTAACATTTGCAGATGTTGCAACTGTTGTAACATTTGCAGATGTTGCAACTGTTACAGATGTTGCAACTGTTGTAGGTGTTGCAACTCTTGCAGATGTTGTAGGTGTTGCAACTGTTGCAGGTGTTGCAACTGTTGCAGATGTTGTAGGTGTTGCAACTGTTGCAGATGTTGCAGCTTGTATTGTGGCCTTTGGGGTGCTTAAGGAAGCAGTAGAATTGGCAACAGTGGAAGGGGCATTAGAGATAGTAATGTTAGATGAGACATCTGCAGTCGTCTTCTCAGCGGCCATATCTTTCGTGGTGACTGCAATAGGAATTGAACCATTTGGCTCTGCACTTGACTTGGATGATGTGCTTCCACCACTAGCAGCCAATGACTTAGCTGTGGTATTAGTCCCCTCTGAAATGCCCTCTGGAAATGCACTGTAAAATAGGAAGCCTAAGGAGAGAGAAAAAAACACAAAAGATTAGCACACTGCTAAATGGGTAGGATGAAAACAAACCCAACTATGTCAAAGACAGCATCATATTCACTTAACTCTATATTAACCAATTTTTATCAGGAGCAGTGCTGAAATCTCAATACATATTCAACAATTGTCTTACATTACAGTTGTCTCTTACCATATCTATCAGTTACAGAGCATTTGTAATAATTCACATGGAGTGGTGTTTGTGTCCAATCCAAGTCCAGTATAACTCCTTACATAGCTCTTTTATTGGTCTCCACCCTCCCTCAGGGATATATCTGGCTTTCTAATGGCTTCACATGCTCTGTGAGGTAAAAGCACTAGACAAGTGGTTGGTGTCGCCCGCTTAGAAAACAGATATGTCAGTGACAGCTCCGGTCACACAAGAGGAGGATAAACAAATCTTGAATACAATGAAGAAATCACTCAAAGCGTTTTACTACGTTTTTCCATTCACCCACTCACACACAAATGAATACAGTGCATCTATTGGCAGTCCATTTTCTATGAGAATGGCACAGCCATCAGGGGTAATTCGGGGTTCAATATCTTATTATCTCACCACAACCACTTATAATTTCTATTTGCAGGAATCATCTTCTGAAAAATATTCTGAACTCACTGAACCTGTGATCAAATTAATACATCATATGATTATCATAGGAATAACCCATAATTCAATGCAGTCATGATATGGATATGTAAACACAAGTCTTTGTGAGGGTTTCTAAGTCATTCTATTAAACTAAGGAACTCTAAAGAAGTAGAGGGAGAAGCAGATAAAGGTAATGTATATTAGTCTACAAAAGTGTTTTGCTGTTTACATTTGATTCTAAAGAAAAGAAAACCTAAATAGCCAAACTTTACATGCTGTCAAAAAAAATCTCAAAAGCAGCATGTGTAGTAGCACGCAGATAGAAAATGTGATAGTGCTGCTCCAGAACAGGGGGTCTGAACAGAAACGTGGCTGGAGGAAAGAATGGAAAGAATAGCATTCTCTCTTACTCAAACACACATGATGTTTCACAGTCAGTTTGAACTTCAGCAGAACTTGGAGACATTTTAGTGTCGGTGGTCGATAGTTACAGATTTTGAATAACAGACAAAACGTCCCTCAAACAATTATTTAACTGTGTTCAGTGGGCAGGCGGGCTTTAGCATAAACTCAGTAGATACTTTGCAATAATGCAACAAGCATAGATATTATGTTATGTCGTGCCCCCTCACCCCTCTGCAAATGTCCCCATTGTGCGACTAATAAAAGACTTCTTATCTTATCCAACCTGACTGATTAGCTGTTCTACCAGTTTGTTGTGTATTGATACACAGATGTTATCTATAACACAGCAGACGTTATCTATAACACAGCATGACAACTAACTACTATTGACTATTCAGTGACAACCGTCTACCCTGGTCATAAAGTGGCAGTAATGTTAACAGACAACGTCTGTTCCTCTATAGCAGTACATTAGTAGGCCAAATGTAACCCACAGGCCAGAACTGGGTTAGGATAAACATTTGTATGCTAAGTTGTAAGCTTTAGTCTTGTTTAACATATCTCTCAAATAGTGGACATGGAATGTGTGGTATGAAAAAATGTTACCAGTTAAGTAAATATTCTTAAGCCAGACATGTGAACAGTAGCTTACCAAATTAAGTTAAATTTTATTTTATGAAAAACACTTGCTACAAAAAGTAAAAAAGAAGTGAAAAAACTGAATCTGGTTGATCATAAATGCTCGTCTTCATTGTGGATAAGACTCAATCAAGCTTTACTCAGTACCCAGAAGGTTGTACTTTTATTCTGCAAACAAATTGCTATAGTGGAAGTTAATCTATTTGATGCTACCATGATTGAGATCAGACTGACACCCCTGAATGTCAGTCCAATATGGTGAAATAAAGACAATTTCAAAATCAAAATGATCTTAAGGGCAAGTTTAGTGAGTTATCCAACAAAACAGTCAATTCGGTCTGCAGACTATCTGTTACAGCCAGGGTAAGGCAAGCTTCCCCGCCCCCATTGACTGTAAGGAGCTCTTTGCCTTTGTGTTCAAATTTTATTAATGTATTACATGTCCAAAGCCCACCAAAGTACTACATAGTACGCTAAATAAATACAAACCATTTACACTTGGCAAGTGTCATGCCAATAAGATGTATGGTTCTCGACAGTGTCAGCTAGTGAATACAGGGTGCCGCAACCCTCCAACATCCTGAGACAAAAAGCCTATATAATAATTGTTGCAGATTTTATTTTATTAACAGCAAATAGGTATTGATTTAATTAATCAAATGTGATTGGGTGACCCTTGACGCCGTCTCAGGCATCACCCAATTCACAGATTCAGCAGCAGGCAAGTGATGAGGACGAGCTTACACCCAGGGCTTCTCCCGCTCTTGTTACGAGAAACAGAGGTGAATAACTGGATGTGGTGTAAGTAATGCCTGTTGGGACGGAGGTACTGTGGACAACAACAGGGGTGCAAGACCTTAAACATCTCTCTGAAAAATACAAAAGAGAGTTGCCATAGTCATTTAGACACAATTGGCCTCATTCATTAATGTGTGCATATGCGCAAGATCCCCACCTGATTCATGACACATGCGCACCAGCTGATTTTGTTCTCATCACCTTGCGTATGTTTGTGAATCAGAATCAGGAAGACAAGGAGCACCAGGAACACACTTAGGTGTTAAACCTGGCCCGGGACACAACTTTCAACCATGATTGGTCACTGTCTGCCCCCTGACCCATTAGGTCAACAGACCAATAAAAAGTTAACTTCCCCCTCTTGTCCTTCTCTTAGAAGTGGGTGTCTCTTTTCTACTCACTTCTACTAGAGGAGAGGTGGGTATCTCTCCTGCTCCTCCAGCCAGGGAGACTTTCTCCCTATCCAAGCTCTTCCAACCTTCAAGCAGGCCTGCCTGAAGCAGACTTAAAACATTTCAAAATGAGAGAACCTGCCTAAGAATTTCAGCACAAGTAATTGACCACGTCACAAGGTCTGACAAGCAGATGCTCAACAACAGCAGCCACAACCAACAAGAACCTGGCACCAACACTTCACACACACATCTCCAAAACTTAACACATAAATGTGACCTCAACCACATGGTCCCACCACTCCATGTGATCTTTTGTCTTCATAGTGGCCAGCCGCCATTTTGAAACTCATTCACTCACTCACTCACTCACTCACTCACTCACTCACTCACTCACTCAAACACACACACACACATCTGTATACAGTAAGTACACCTGTAGTTTGTTTTTAGTATCATTTTCATAATAAATGTTTTTCTTTAACACACATGTTGTCTTCATTAATATCGAAACCACTACACTGTCAACAACTCCATATCCTCAACTTTGCTAGCTATTGATGTGGTAATTTTGGTTAAAGTTATTAATTTAACTATTAATCAGAGTTCCAAATTTGTAATTAGTACTTTCATGAGACTTAATTACTTAATTGGATATCTTTTCCCTTCTTTTGGAGGGTGGTGCCCTGCGGTAGCTTTAATCAAGTTAATATTTAATATTAATATTTTGAACATTCATATGAATTTTTTTTCTTTTTTGTTCATACAGAATACATATTAATTATTTATTAAAATAACAGACATGTTGAATTCGGTCTGTCAAGTGAATACAGTCAATGTGATTTTTAACACTAACCCTAAACAAACTCCCTGAAACACAAATTCAGGTTTAAAAAAAAAAACAGGATATAGTCTGTACAAAGCAAAAAGCAAAATATAGGATTCACTAGAAACTAGTGACAAAACATTATGATCACCAGCATAAGTGTTACAGGCCAATAACATCTGTCACACGTATGCTGATTATCCAGTGGCTGTGTGTGAACATAATGTGTCAAGGTCAAAAAACACAGCATGGGGGTAAAGCCATTGTTCTCTAGCCATGGAGTCCGGCAAGAATTGTTCCCAGCGCACTGGAAACAGGCTGTGGTCATGGGTGTGGTGTTTCCAAGTTATTGTGTATTGCATCCTGTCCTGCTTACAATAAATGGAGGAGGAGAAGAAGATAAAGTGCTGAAGATTACAGCAAAACGCCCTGTAGAAAAGGTTGCTACAGTGCTCCACCAGCCTTGACCTCTACTATGCAAAAAGTTATTGGTATTTCATTTATTTCATTTTATTAATTTATTATCATATTATTTATTGAATTTATCAATTAATATTTTTATATTTAAAAAATGGATGATTGGATGATAACTACTACATGTATTAATGAACCCACTTTTTCTGATTTGTTTTCCAATTATCTCATACTTTCACTTTTGGCTGCAGTAGCTGCTGAGAAATAGCTATAAAACACCAATGTGCAAGACCTGCTCTGCAGCAAACAGTCTGTCTGTATATATTCATTCACTTTCAAACTGAATACTTACTTATAAGATTATAAGGACAGCAAAAATCATTGATCTGATCACTTGCTTGGCATCAGTGTGGGTCAGAACCAGTTGGCAACTGGCACACACACACACACACACACACACATAATTTGCGAAGAATAAAAGGGGAAATAGGAAGTCTCTTAATAGCAGAGGCATGGGGGAAGTTCAAAGAAATAATGCAAATGGCAAATATTTGAAAATAAGGAGGAAAAGGGAGGAGAGGAGTGAGGAGTCATTATATGAGAGAGGGGAGGAGAGTGAAGGTCCATGATGGTACCAGTCACAGGCATAATTAATGGAAACCTGGATGTGCAGTATGCCATGCTGGGTAGAGGGACAGAGTGAGAGTTTATAGGAGAGATGACGGCTGTTTATCTGAAGCTTCAGACAGTGATGAAACACTTGGCTTTACAGAGAGCAGAGGTTCCTCCCTAAAATAAATCTACATCCACATGCCAGCTAGGCCTAGCCTTTCATAGCAACATCCACTGAGTCTTAGGTGCCTCAGACCTACAGGAGTCATTGAATGGAGAGGCTGGACATTTGAGCTACTTCATAATGTGAAGTGGGAAAACAGTTTAATGTATAAATGACAGAGAAATCTGTTGTTTTTCTACTCTTGTTTAAAATTGTGTCTTTTTCCTAGTTAATTACGGACCATATAACAAAATGCATATTAGTTCAGTAGCTTTTATGTTGTTTTTTTCTCTTCTTACATCAGATCTCAGAACAATGTTCTACACATCAGATATTGCCTGTTTGCATTAATTTTGTGATGTACTGCCCACTTCCAGACCATTTGCATGCATTGTAAATCATCTCTGATAAGCATTCTGACAGTCAATAAGAAAAATACACACATAAGAGGAGGGGGAATAGACAGATAGAAGTGAGTAACTTCTCATGGCATGCTGATGGGAAAACAGAGTTTTTAATCAAGATTGAACGGACTCTGACACGATCAGTCTTCTGACATGTAATGGGATACATCGAGACCAAACAGGAACTCTTAGCTGTTGGGTAGATGTTTCAGGTCAAAGTCCCACTGGGATTACTGTGGCTACTTTCCTACAAATTTCTTACAATTCACACAGCAATAGAGCGACTTGACCAAACAAGTGCTGCTAAAGATCTTTCAGTGCAGATGATTCATTCATTTATTTAAACATTATTTAAGCACCATTTATAAGACTTAGACTGCCAACACTAGTGAAACCAGGGTAGCACTAGTTGTGGTGCTCTTTCTCAAGTGGCATCTACTTACTTTTACTAAATACTTTTTTTGTTTTCTTTTTCATCTTTATCTTCCACATTTTAAACATAATTTTGAGAAAACAGAAATAATTAAACAAAACAAGTAGGCTTTAGTAGGGTATAGAATGGACTTTTGATGTTGTTTTGGGAGTGCTTTAACATAAGAAGAATTTTAGTACTTCTTCCCTCAGTGTATAAGACCTACATTTGTCACATACTTCTGTAATACATATACTCAAGTCTGAGATTAAAAAGATTAAACATCTGAATTAAAAAATAATAATTATTATCCCATGTGCACTTGTTACCGCATCACACATTTTATGGTTGCAGCGCAGCTCAGCTTGTGCTGCTGCGCACAAAGACTTTTCTTTCTCTTTAAAAACAAGACTACACAAGAATATAATTTAAACATCAAAAATAAAACTTCCAGCTCAAGCAGGAAAAATATAAAAACCTATGGACAAACCCCCGAGTCCCAATGAAATGTTAATTGACTCACTGAGTGAAAGCATCAACCTCATGATCCTCATTGTTGCTTTCATCCTGTTTCTGCTTCCTTCTTCTCCCAGATGCATTCATGTAGTGTTGCTCTACAATCCTTTACTTTGTGTTAGGAGCAGTTAAAAAAATTAAAAAAACACGTCCTGTCACGTAGTTCTCCTTGAATTTGTATATTAAGCAGATGATTTAGCCTAACGCATTATTTTCTTCTTCCTCTTCTTTTAAACTGAAAGCCAAGAATGCTTTGTCTCCGCTGTTTTTTTCTCCTCTCTGTCCAGAGTTGGGGATTTGGTAGTGGAGTGTTTCTTTGGTTTCCTTGGCTGCACCGTTGTTCCTCACTGTCTCTCAACCCCCTCTCTCTCCCTCAATGGCTTACTGCTGAATTGTGCAGTTCTCTCTCATGCAGTGTGTTCAGCTGTTAGCTGCCAGTGTGGCCAACCAGGAGCACTGATCCCTGCTCTTATCATGAGAAAACAGGGGCAGACCCAGTATGGTCCAATCCCACAGCTCTGTAATCTGCTACTCTACACTTTCAATAACAATAGAAACCTTTGAGACAATATGTTGTCCTGGTTTGGATTTTATTCTAAAATGATCCATCACTCAAGAACAGGGGTTGAAGTCACATCAGCAATATAATGTTGTTTTATCATTGGAAAGACTTGTTGAGATTCAGTCAGGATGTCAACATTTTTACTCAAATACTTGCTTTACTATACAATAATGTCAAAACAATAATAAAGTTACAATTTATAGTCTCTTGTCCTCCTGTTTTTTAACTTTGACCTTAACTTGGACACAAAATAAGAATTTATTTAACATGGACCTAACTGTATTCAAAAACTTGAAAGACCAAATCTGGACTTGCACTTTGACAGTGAAGCCTCAACACATAGAGCAAATTGCTAATTCAATTTGTCAAGACATATTTTTTCGTCTGTTTTCTTCAAAGATGGAATAAATAGATGGATGACATGACATCCCCCCAAATGTGAAGCCAAATTATCACCCTCTGGTGACTGGCTGCAGGATAAGAATAAGACTTTTACAAAGTCATTGAAATAAATATTTCTCAAATATGATTTTGTGTAGTTCTTATCACACTGATGTAGTTCAAAGTTTGCTTTATTTTCAGTTCTGCAAATGTACAGGAGATATGGTAAGGTAAGTATTGAAACTGCGAGACTCTCAAACCCGTGGTGTTAAAGTAAACATTGAATAA